TCAGTATCTTCTTGCCAGACTTCTATAGCCTGTTCCATAATCCATCTAAGAAAATTCGACTTACAATAATCAAGCGAAAACAATTCAGTCTACGTTTATTTTAGATGGTCGCAACAAATCAGGGTGGTCGTTTATTAGTGAACAGCAAACGTCTAAGTAAATGTCAGAACATCATAACTCAGATATCTATACACTCCCTTATTTTTTAAGCATTATATTTCATATTTTACATTAAATATTGAGAAAGCCTGTGCTTGAAAAGATAACCTTGCCCTCCAGCTGTACGGTCTATTATAGAAATAAAGACTTATTCACCACTTGTCTGGTTTCTTCTATCGACAGAACAAGGAGTATCCACCGAAACGAAATCGGTGAGCCCTATTTTGGACCCTGATCTAATTTCCGTCCTGCTCATTTTATTATTACCTTTTACTTAGTCATAAAAGCAAACCTTCTGATTGTTTTTAGCAAAAATTTCGTCTATGTATTTGTGTATAATGTTTTTTATCACGAAGTATTTGTATTGTGATCACTATTTTAACCAAGCACATTATATTACTATATTGGTTAAATACCACATATCAGACTCAGTCCAAATTGAAAGCCTCGGGGATAAATGTAATTCGTCACCGGTAGAGACAGACACTACTATGAATACGAAAGTCTGAGTTCCAGAATTTGATCGTACTGTCCCTGGGTTGATGACTGCTAAATTAAAACATACTTTCACAAGGCACAAAATTGAATCTGATGAAATTCGGTATCGGAATTTATATGCTGTCGTCCCTCTTGCAGTCTCCAAAAAAGTTCGCGACTTAGTTTTGAGTCCACTAACAACACAATCATACTCCATTTCAAGACGAGGGATAATGAACCCTTCTATATCGATTAGATGGCCGAAAAATCCTAAGGCTATTCCAAGGAGAAACGTCAGTTGATAGGTCACCGTCACAGCTTTCGTGTCACCTCAAATTCTCAGTGAGCGACAAAAAGGTGGGTGAAGCATTCACAAAGCAAGAATGGTGTAACGGAAAGAGAATAGTGAAAATCCCTCTGCAGCTTCTTTGTTGAACAGTATTGTCATTTATTTGTTCCTTCTCCCTTTTGTGTATTCCAACCTTTGTTTCGATCTCGTTTAACCATGTCTTTTGTTCTTCAGTCTTCTCCGTTTGAGCCTTTATTATGTGATTTTGATTAAAGACTTATTTTTGTTACCTAATTTTCTATTGCATGTTGCCGGACCATTGACAGTAAGGTTGTGTTTGACTAAGCCCAAGGTCACGGCGTGGTTCATTTTGTGACTGTTAACCTTCTGACTGTCTGCTTGGGAGAATTGCTGCAATCCCTGCAGATAGATATTTGATCCCATCTTATTGGGAATATTTGTATTGATTCTCAGGTATCAAACCCTTTATTATTAACTGTCTCTTTCATTGTTTAGCGCGCTACTTTGCGTTAGAGAAACTTCTGACTGTATAGCACAGGCTGTACCGTTTGAGGTATTTTGTATTTTTGATGTAACTTGTTCTGTTCTTAATTAGAACCGTTTATATTGAGCACAGAGTTTGTGTTTTGATATAATATAATACGAGTATCTCAAAGACGCGTTGTGGGCTATACAGAGGAACTTGGTCTGGTCTAATCGAATAAATTTTGGGTTCGTCAGTCCGTTGTTCCAACCGAATATTGGCTGTTCGGTCGTTACAAATGGGTTCAAGCTCTCCATTACTACGTCCAACACTGTTTGGTTATACAAAACACGGACACCCCTTTATCTCACCTGGCTCCTGTTGCAGGCAGACCAATGGATAAAGGTTCCCCAACTGGATCATGTACGATACATTATACACAAAAAGGGGAATCACCAAAATTTTCACTCACAGCAGACCTGATTGCAAGTGTTAAAATCTCGCAGAGGCTGTCACATAAATGCAAAAAGGTCATAAAACAGGAGGCAGTCGTCACAGCGACCGAGATCTGAGTCATGGAACTGGTCGAAAAGGCAAATCCCTTCTGATTTCACTTCGTCCGATTTAGATCTGGCAATACTAGCAATGGTCTTTTTAGAGCGATATGAATTTCTAGTCAACACTGAAAAAGATGTTTGACAGTGAAAGGAACTTCCATTTGAAAAAGGCGAGAAAAGTCGCATTACAGGTCCTCCAACCATCAAACAGTACCCAATACATCATATCCAAGATTTCACAAACAGCTGACATGATATTAACATATATAATGAAACTGACTTACTCAGTGCATATCACAATATCCCACTAGCTATTACTATACTTTTTCGACTGTTCCAGTTTTTACACTTGCCATTCGGTCTGAAAATTGCATCACAGACATTCTAAAGATTTATGGACAGTCTGCTGCGTAATATACCCTTTGCACATAGTTATATAGACGACTTGTTAATTGCCAGTTCGGATTTAAAATCACACGGATAGCACGTGAGAGCAGTGCTACAATGGCTAAATGAAAATGGAATGCACATACATCAAAGTGTGTTTTAGGTGTTCAAATTCTAGAATTTCTCGGACACTCAATAAGCCGAGAAAGGATTACACCGATCAAGAAAGAGCTGGGCACTATTAGGCGGTAACCCATACCTTATTCTCTAACACAACTTAGAAAGTCTCCTAGTTTTGGCTCAGTTTATCGTGGATTCATACCTAGTCATGCACAAGTAACACAGCATTCGACAGTTTTCCTTAAAGGAAAATCAAGAGAATTTAATTTAACTTGTGAGGCTACTGAGACTGTTAGGCAGCTAAAAGGTAAACTAGCTCAATCGTCTACACTGATGCATCCGAATTCACAGTCCCCACCCGCTTTGATGGTGGATGCTACGGAAAATGTAGTAGGCGGTATTCTTAACGAACCAGTTGAAAACTCCTGAAAACCGACTCGCTCCAGCAAAGATGAGATATTCTACCTTCGAACGAGAATCTATCGTAGTCTATCTGACCGCTATGCATTTTTGTCACATGTTGGAAAGCAGGGACTTCATTGTTCGTATGGATCACTAACCACCAACCAGTGCATTAAAATCAAGAGCCTCAAATATTCTTCTCGAGAGGTCCGACATGACTATATCAGGGTTCACCAGTGATATACAACATGCCAGCGGTCAGGAAAATAAGACGGTGGCTGTATTATCTCGGCTAGAAATGAACATAGTTTAACAATATGCAAAAGGTTTAGAAGCGTTGAGAGACAACTAGAAAGATCAAGAATTTCAGAACCTACTTGTATCAGAGCACATCAGTCTCAAACTAGGACATCTACCATCACCCATTAAAGGCATGTTGATTTAGGGTCACATGACCAGGGTGGTGCCTCGACCTTCGTCCACACAAAATGTGAGGGAATTAATACTTAATATTCTTCATACTACATCTCATCTCGGCGCGAAAGCTACTACCAAGCCAATCAGTGCCAGATATATATGGCCAAATCTACAAATAGTAGTGTAAAAATGGGTAAGAGTGTTCAGTGTGTCAACAATCGAAGGTTGACTGTCACACAAAATCATATATCGCATTTTTCTCATAGCCAGATTCTCGTTTTGTTCACTGACCTCATCATACTATAAACTCGGAGTCAGATCATAAATCGCTAAACTGGTGCACCGTATTTCGAATTGACCTCCACGTACAAAAATACGTCGTGGAAGTACCTTTCCAATTATGAATTCAAAGAACAAACGCCACGTACCCGGCTATGTCGACAAGCAACGCAGAGGGCATATTCTCTAAAATCCGACGCCGGCAACGAAGCCAGTACATCAATGACATAGAAATGCTCAAGTCATATTCTTATCGGTACTTTGTTCGAGTATTAATTCTTCTCATTCATCTACTTTTCGGATCTATCCACTGTGATTATTACAATTACTACATTTTTATGATCAGGTTATCATGGAATTATAACCAGTATTCATACTGAAATTAAATTATGGCATTTACGCTATTATATTACTCATTCACCGAGTTATGATATTATGAACATTACTTCATATCATGACATTCGCACCTCACTAAACTACTTTTTTACTTGTTTACGTAAATTATCTGTGTCAGTTGGACGGAGTTCCTAAAAATCTAAGTAAAAGTTTTCACAAAAACCCACACTTCTTTAACATTATTCAAATGTTTCCAGTGAAGACAGATTGATAATCCAGTGTCTACTTTTATGAAAATCATAATGAGATTGTGGGAGTTACATAAGAGAAGTCGTCATTATATTAGGAATTCACAAATTTCCTGAGTCCACGTAGTCAACAGCATAACGAAGATATTGTACCAAGTTTTAGGTGGTAAAAGAAACTATTCAGGTTAGTAGCTGGCCATGATTCGAACAAATGTTTGCAGGTACCTCTAGCGTTGTATTTGGATAATTGTACAAATTTTAAGATCTGTCAAGCAAGAATACTTCACTCTAGTTTGAATGTACTTTCAAAGTATATCGGATATGACTAAATCATTCTACTGAGGAATTTGTAGAGCAAACTTTTAAGTCCCGTGCAAGACAGGAAGAAACAATCGACACAACAAAACTGGATTATTTTGAGTTATAGGTGTCCTACAATATCTTATTATTATAAAAGGGAAATGAGTATAATCGACAACCAAAAATATCAGGCCATATATATTACCAAAGTCATTATTCTCTAGATCATGACTCATGAGAGGATACTCAGGTAACTCATTGGCTTCAGAAATAATCATTAAATAATGTATTTGAAGGTATTGAAGTTATAGAATGTGTGTGACATCAAAGGATTGTTCATGAATTTATTAACTTTTGGCGATCATCTGAAATTGTTAATTCGACTGAATATTAAATAGGACTAAATAAAACTGTGGTTGCTGTCAAGTACACGAATATATGCAATTGCAAAAAATTGATACATACGAAACATATTACTAGGTTATTGAAACTCTCACAGCAGCTAGATATGTTTCGATCAAAGAACATCTGAAGTGTCTGTGATAATTTATGTGAGATAGATAGTTCCAAGGAGTCAATCATTGAACAGTTGTCCTTATTCCGCTAATTGGATATTGAATAGAATATACTGGGGAAGATTCGAAAGGCAGGGTTTTTGCTCTTTTAAAATGTCTGCGGAGTCGGATACTGTGGAGCGCCTCAATAGTTACGTTAAGCTTAATGTCGGTGGATGCTTGTTCTATACCACTATTGGAACGCTTCTACGCGGTGGCACAATGCTTACTGCAATGTTTAGTGGTCGAATGGAAGTTAAAACTGATGATGACGGTAAGTTTATTAACTAAGTTTGTCCTTTTACACACTTATAACCTACAGTCTGTGCATGTTATACTTTTCGCCTAAACGAAATGTGTTGTGGTTAACGATTTTTGGAAATGGAGTTTTCTAGATCAAACTGACGGTTGTAAAAGGGCGGAAACCATACTCATCATGAACTGGTCATATCTAGACCACCATTGAAAACCTGTAAGTATTGAACGGCTGTCTTATTCTAGTATGGGATTTCTCAGCAATCCTCATTGACGTCGACTGGAGTCAGGGTCGCAATTATCAGTCTCGCGTGCCAGCGCTCAACTATCAGGTCACTGAACCGGGATCGAATAATGCTTAAGTTTGACTGTAATCAGTCTAATATTTTACGCAACCATCTGTTGTCCTTGGCCAGTATTCCCCTCGTACCTGACAAGGCTAAATTCTACTGGTCATAACTTCCCACTATATTTTTCGAAATTTCTCTTCAAGCTAGTCACTTGTGAGTACATGATAATCGTATCTATGACATTGTGAAGGTTGTAGGATTCCACTGAAACCATAAAGCGAGCGATGAGTGAAGATTGCATTACCTAGAGCTAGATATTGACACCATTAGATACCAGCTCAGTGGTATGGAGTTCGAGCTTTTGCTTTCTAGACCAAAGGCCATGGATTCGATTCTCATGTACGGGGACTTGAGTAAAAATTGTTGGGGAGTCCCATACTAAGACAAAATGGCCGTCTAATGCTTCCAAGTTTTAATGAGGGTTTAGCTATGAACAGTTCATGATTTCAACTTGGGAGACAAAATCTAGAATAATCTTATAATCTTGAAAAGGCAGAGCTCACCAATCTGTTGATTATGGTACTCCTAGATTGAAAACGTACAGCCTATAATTTCTTTGCCCATCGGTGACGTAGCAGTTAATATCGTACCCTCCCTCACCCTCTTCGGTTTGGGCAACCGGGTACTATTATTATTATCCGTGTAATTCACGCTCAAGCAGTTGGTGAACACGTTAATTCGATAAACGAAAAAGCCCACAGGAAATTTAAATAAAATATATATGGTTACTGTGATTCGGCTGAGTCAAATTGTCAGTGGGTTTAATTTGTTAGATACCTTATCTCGAGCTGTGCACTGGCGCATATATATTGGCGCTCTCATGTACCAATATTTGTGTTCAAATAAATAAATAAACTGGTCATAAATGACTGAGATAGCGCTTTAGGTTGGGAAGTACTTTGTTCTAAAGCTTTTGCTCGAAATATTTGACTTATTTTATTAGCATCCACATGTAACAAAACTACTATGTACTTGTACAGAGAAAAGTACTTTTAGATATCAACTGAAAACCCAACATATTCATTACATTTGTAAGCGTGATAAAGTCTGTGGAATTGAATATTGTGTCTTCAACAAGCATCACCCAATGTAAAGGGTCTGTATAATTTTTACTACTTCAGTGTATAACCATCAGTGCTTAAATTAGTAGTATTTAGTGATGTAATATGCTGTCACAACACTTGTAAGAACTTAGGACTAATTTGCTATTTATAAGTAGCCGTCATATTAAAAAGTGTGTCAGAAGTCTGGTGCTGGTAAATGTTTGTCTTGTAGTCTTAACAGATGGTAAATTTCTGACTTGGTTGAAAACAAGTTTCGCCTAATTTCATCACCGTTTTCCTATGGCTCTAGTTAGAAATTCTATAACCTAAGAATTTGTTACTTAAGTTGGCTCCCAATAACTGATATGAGGATATTCGTCTTCACAAACTAGAAAAATCGTCGGTTGAAAACTTCCAAGTAAAAGGTGCCAGCACTTCAACCAGTGTTTTTTCAGTCTAATCGTCAGTTACTTTTTAAAGACTTTTAAAGATAACCGGTTCAGTCCCATTTCTAATTGCCTCAAGTTACGTGTATTTTAAACAACCGTGATAAACAGTCAGTCGGTCTTTCAGTATGAGAATCCCATTTCCAATTAAAAGCCACGGCATTCAGACAATACTTGACTTGGATATCATCCATTTGTCAACTAGTGAAAAAACACCATTTTTAAAAGCGAGAGCACCAAAAAACGCATTTGTTTGCCCTTGCGATTTCATGATTATTTAAAACATTCAGAAAACATTTCACAATCAAACTAAAAAAAGTTTTAAAAGTATTTCTATTGAGGAGCCAACTAATTTTTCTTAAGGTATGACAATATTTCCAACTCGAAAGGAACCTGTTAATGTCATCGGTCTGTCGTTACATAAATAGCTTTAATGTTGTAATGAAACTTTCTATAAAGCAACAAACACAACAAAACGTTTTATTTAGAATTGAAGATAAGATCCCCTTTACTTCTACACAAAATTGTGTCTACAGGTTAGGCTCTGTCGATTGCGATGTTCTCTTCATTGGAGCTTTCTTGTGAAATCTTGACTCGTGCTAAAGAACACTTGAGCTACACTACAAGACCTAATAATCCTATAGAGGTAGATAATTCACAAATGAAATCACTAATGGCGATACATAATATTTTCAATAACCACCAAATCGGTATTGAAAATATCGAAGTGATTCAGATGAGAGGCTTAATTTTTCTGCCCTCAACAGGAAAGAAGGCCTAACTATTCATCTAACTTGTACTGTTTTCCCGAACAACCATGTTTCTATACACTCAACATTTTAACTTCACTACTTCATACTACAAATTATGCACTTTTTATACCCAGCATCATAAACACACTGACTTCTCATACAGAGTCCCCTTGACCAGAAATAACATGATATTGATATGGTAAGGGCTGTTATGATGTTAACTGTATTAAAAATATTCTGCTATATTTCTTTTGTACTATTCAAACTTGTATGAATTTGTCTCGGTTATTTATTTATTTACTCTTAATAAGTGACTTAATTTAGGTCACAAACTGTCAGAAGAACAAATTTCTAGTCATTAGAATATCGTGACATATTTAATTGTTATTAATTTCCTGCCCAATGCTCAATTTATTTTAAACAGTCAGTCAGTAACGACGTAGAACTTCGTACGTACGTACATCAGTTCGAGTTGCCACACCACATTAGCACACATGTAAAGGTCGATTCAAATCCCGTAGTGCTAGATATAGTAAAATTATAAGCTGTAATCAGTAAAATTAGGGTTTGAAGATGTTATTCAAGGACTATAATCCAGTTAAATAAATTTGGAAAGAGAAAAAAGAAAAGGACATGAAGAATTCAAAAGATTATAATTTGAGAGAACACAAAGAGTGGATGCACCTGCGCCATTGCAAACGATTTTGAGCCATGTCATTCAAGGTCTCTAACCATCGGTTGCTATCGTCTCACAGATCCCAACCACGTAGTCTACACCTACCAACATGACTCAGTCTACTTGTCAGTGACTTCATGGACTTGTGCCATGTTTTGGTCTGGCCGCCCCTAGCTTCCTTCCAACCTACTCCTATACCACTGAACATCGCTCGTCGAGGCAGTCGGTGGTTGGGCATACGTAACACAAGTCTCAGCCATCTCAACTGATGAAGTTTCACTACTTCATCAATTGATTTGCCATCCTTACCTAGTACCCGTTTCCTAACAACTGCATTACTTGCTCGATGGTCACAGGATATACGAGCAATATTTCGAAGACACCTGTGATTGAACACTAGTAACCTACGAATATCCTCTACTCTTACCGGCCATGTTTCACTGCCATAAAGTAGGACGGAACGAACTGCTGCGCAGTAAACCCGTCCTTTGGTTGATAGACGAATATCTCGCCTAAGCCATAAATGACGCGAGTTGGTAAAAGCTAGTCGATCCTTCTGTATCCGTGCTGAGATTTCGTCACACACCAGACCACAAGGGCTGATGAAACTTCCAAGATAAGTGAAGCGATCGACACGCTCAATTACTTCACTCCCTATCATTAGTTCGGGTGTCAATGCAACCCAATCTTGAAGCAACATTTTGCATTTCGAGGGGGAGAATCGCATCCCGAACATGCTTGCATTGTTGCTTAGAGTGGTCATAAGACTCTGCATTTTGTCAGCGTCTTCACCAAATAAAACTATGTCATCTGCATATTCTACGTCAACAAGTGAACCTCCCGGTAGAAGTTCAACCCCTAGAACTTTAGATGAGGAGAGTGTTTTCTCTAAAAGTACATCAATGACAAAGTTGAACAAGAATAGAGAGAGTGGACAGCCCTGACGAACACCACTTGAGGTAATCAATACTGATGACAGTTCGCCATAAGCTCTCACTCTACCAGTTGTGTTGGAGTAGAGAGCCTTTATAAGGTTAATGTACTTCTTTGGTACTCCTTTCAGTGACAAGCACTGCCATAGAACCTTACGATCGACAGAGTCGAATGCCGCCTTAAGGTCGAGAAATACTACCATTGTGGGGCGTCTGAACGTGTGTCTGTGTTCTAGAACCTGATGTAGTGTGAATATGTGGTCTATACAACCACGTCCAGGTCGAAAACCAGCCTGATTTTCTCTAGTCTGCTCTTCACAAGCTTTAGTTAGGCGTCGAAGTATTATTGAAGCTAATATTTTAGACACTATATTTGTCAAACTGATTCCTCTGTGATTGTCATAAGAGGACTTTTGTCCTTCCTTATAGACTGGCACAATCAGTGATTGAGAGCAGTCAGATGGGATTACGTCCAGTTCCCAAATTCTACCTAAGACCTCAGTTAATTTCACTGCTAATACTGAACCACCATCCGTATAAATCTCAGGAGTAAACCTGTCAGGGCTTGCTGCTCTCCCTCGCTTCAGATTTCCTATGGCTTTTTCAACTTCGTAAAGAGTCGGAGGACCTACATTAACTTGCCATTCAGGTTGACTGGAGATCGTGGGAAACCAAAGTGTGGCTGAAGGCCACTTGAACTGATCCCTAAAGTGTTCTGCCCATCGATCCAATCTCCTGGATTGAGAATGTATAATGTCCATCTTTCTCTGAGGTTGTTTCGCTAACAGTCGGTTTCCTAACGCCGGTTTCCTTAACAAGTTTGAACAATTGTCTGCTATTACCTATTGCCGCTGCCTTTTCCATCTCTCTTGCTTTCGCTACCCACCACTGTTCACGATCATTGCGTAGACTTCTTGTCAGCTTGCGCTTAAGCTGACTCCGCTCTTCATTATGTTCAGAGCCAGGTGGAATGAGTTCCCGAGCATCTATCAGTGCAATAGATGCTGCTGAGATCCAGCGTTGCTCCTTAACCTTGCGGTTTACCTTACTAGCAGATATCACTGCTGTCTCCACAGCTTTTCGGATATCGTTCCATGCTGCCTCTGGGTGGGCATCACATACATGGCTGTCTAACTGTTTTCCTAGTTGTTCCTGAAATATACTCTTAGCTTGACTATCATTAAGTAGGGCCCTAAAAGGTTTACTTGCAGCGTCTTTCCTACGTCCAGTAAGACGCAGACAGATACGCGCTCGTACTAGAGCATGATCTGAATCTAAGCATGTGCTCCAGAATGAGCGATAGTCTTCTATCGAGCCCCTCCATCGGTGGCTGATAGCGATGTGATCTATTTGGGTCCAACGTTGGGACGAATTAGGGGGTCGCCATGTTAAAAGATGTTTTCCCTTATGCTTAAAATTAGTATTTGCAAGAAAGAGGTGGTTATCTGAGCATAGCTGCAACAGACGGTCGCCATTATCTGTTCTTTGAGCCACGACACCATGAGATCCACCTAGGTGTCTTTCCCTAACGCTTGGTTTACCTACTTGAGCATCAAAGTCACGGCCACTATTACTACATCAGAGCGCCTAGCTTTTCGAAGAAGGTCGGAGAGCTTTCTGTAAAACTCATCTTTTACATCATCTGAGCTGCAGTCAGTGGGAGAGTAGGCAGGGACGACGAAGAGGCAACGACGAGTGTCCTTATCTTTTCGGATCCTTACTGTTCCGTTTAGTCGGACAGCGCACAAACGGCTGTCTACTGGGATCCACTCTAAGAGAGCTAATTCTGCCCTAGGACTCAATGCTATGCCTACGCCTGTGAGGCCACGGGAAGCAGAATCTGGGCTTCCAGATACACGAAGTGTGAATCGCGTCGGTTCTTTATTTTGGCATGGTGAGGTTAAATGAATGACGCTACTCGGATCTTGTATGCGCGTTTCGGAGACGCAGCACACATCGATGGCGTGGGATTCTAAAGTCCTAGCTAAGGAAGCCTGCTGTCCTATTTGGCACAGTGTTCGGACGTTAAAAGCTCCTACGTGTAGTTTAGAGCGTGGTTTCAGGAGACCAGGAATAGCGTTTCGCGTACTCGAATCGTTTGCTCTAGCGGTGCGAGGTGATAAAGAAACGTGAGGAGGGTTAGTCATGGAGATAAGAGAGGTATTAGGAGGTGTAGGAAGGATTTGAATGTGACCAACTTGGTTTCGTGCGCTGTTACGGGTATGAGGGCTGATATCATTTCCCGGCTGCTCACACCGTGGAAGGGTATTTCTTGAGGAACCTGAAGAAGAAGTCGGATTAGTGTTGGTGTTAACGACCTGGGAGTGTGACCGCAGAGCCCAAGGGACAACTGCCTGAGGCCGGTCGCGCACGCCCTTTTCGTAGAAGGTTTCTAATGTGTTAGCTCCTTTCTTCAAAGGGCTTTACCGCCGGAGATGGAAATCCGTGAGGCAAGGTGAGGTGTGACATTTTTAGGGTTGACCTTTTCTAACCCCACCCCTCCTTGTGGGAAGGCAGCATCGCTGCAGATGCTGGTTGTCCGAGGGAAGCACCTTGCTGTTGTCACACCCGTCTACAGTCAGCAGTACGACTTCGCCCCCAGACCTTGAGTTGCTGCTTTTAGTCTTACCGTTCTCCAATCGACCTGCCTGACATGGTAGAACCTACAGGAACATATGTTCCAGCCAATATAGCTCGGTTGGGTCATCACGATAGGCAAGCCCGACCACCGCGTCAAGGTAGCAGCTGCAGTGAAGTTCAGCCTTGGCATCGGTATCTAATGTGGAGTTAACGTTTATTATGCAGTGACACACAAAAGCTTGGTTTACAGAAACCAGTCAATATTAAAAGACAGACAAATATTTATGAAGACTAGAAACTTGCAAATATGAAATCAGATAGGTAATTAGTCGCGAGATTATATATATTCAACCTTTATTTAAGCCTTATTGTTTGTTGGTTACGCATGCCAGTGCATTTCCTACCCACATTGCGCTTCCGAACATTTTGGTAGTTAAATGTAGCATTTGTGAATATTAATCATTCTTATAACCAGAGGGTGTCGGTTCTTATTTTTAGGCTGGGTACTTATTGACCGTAGTGGCAAACATTTTGGGACGATCTTGAACTATATCCGAGATGGTTCAGCCCCTCTGCCAGAAAATAGGAAAGAGTTAGAAGAACTAGCTATGGAAGCCAAATATTTCTGCGTTAAAGGTTTATGTTTAGCATGTGAAGAGGCGCTTGGTCGTTTGACAAATTACGAAGACCTTCAAAATCGCGCAACCATTATTATCGTCAAATGTCCTAATGCAGCAAAATCTTTGCTTTCTACTACCCGTAAGGTAAGTATAGGTTATTCGGGTAACTCCTTTAAATATGTTGCTATTCTGTGCGTATGAATGGCAGTATTATTAACATGCTATGAAATTCACTTTAAACTCGAACTGGTTTACGAGGATTTATGCCATACATCCTTTACTGTTTATTATTTGTTCAAATAGTAATTGTTTTGCCGACAAACGAAGGGTTATTTATTTCAAAACTGGTAGTCGGGAATGTATCGGTTCTGTCTTCACTTGTTTGTTGAAGAAGCAACATATTAATTAACCCACACACCTCTTTTCATCATATTTTCTGGTATTGTGACAATGCATAGTCTTGAAGCTTCTAGTCTAGATATCATGATACTAAGAGCCTTGTACTCGAGGACTTACAGTTTTATAAGAAGAATGATCTCAAGATTCATCTAGGGATGTTTTAGGACTTGAGTACTCTCTTCTGGAACAGATATAACTCAGTTTAGCACATGATCATGTACGTGGTTATTCAAATGCACTATTTGGTACTGATACGACCTGACGACATTCATAGGCATTCCGGAATGATTCGTTAAATGTTCGTATTCAACTTAGTCGCTGATGACGGTAATGAATTTCAGCTTTTCCTGGATTACTCGTTTGCTCACAGACTCTGGTTGACTTAAAGTTCATCACTATGGTTAAAGGATGATAAGGTGTACAATCTTTTTTAGAAATCAAGTTCTAACCTATGAGCGTTCTATATTTTAAAATCTGTTTATAGAATGATTCAGTCAGACAGTGTTAATGTGTCATAGTATCTCACGTGTGTGAAATTTCCTAGATTCCACTCACTTTCCTAATAGAGCTATAGAATAATCTTATCTTGTGCAAAGTCTATTCAGCTAATTGTATTGATGCTAACTTTCCATCTACGTCCCAAAAATCTCGAGCTCTAAGTTATCGATCTCGTTATTCATTTTAATTTCACACAATCATATGGTTTTGAAATGGTGGAGATTTGTAGCTCAGGTGGATGATCGTGGTTAAGTTTCGTTTCCTGAGCTGGATGGTTTGGTTGTCGTGCTTTCATTATTCTTCTGAACAGCATCAGCAGAAGTGGAGTATTCGCATTTCTCCACATGTCTCACTTTGTCCTGCCGAACCCCATGACATATCTTCGCTTATATCAATACGTGTAGACACATATTTGACTGGAAAATGTTGCAATCTTGGATAGATAGAATACTAAAAATACCAGGGAATTTTCAGAAGCTTAGCACTTAGGTAAGTCAGCAATCAACAAACACATCGGAATCGATCCAACCTATCAATCAATCAGAAAAATCATGGACAAATATAGGACCAAGAATCAGATCAAAGGGAGATGCAATCAAAATAAAGAGACAGATAATGATGGGTTAAGGGTCAACAATAAACAATCAAGATCGAGGTTGGCAGGACAGGTTGAGAGCCATATGTGGAGAAATGCAGATTCTCCACCTTTACATGAAGTTTTTGATGCCGTTGTTCAGAAGAACAATGAAGACTTCACGACCAAACTACCTAGCTCAGATAACAACTCCCAGTGATGGCTTACGATTCATTTAACCTTGAATATTTCTGGGGAGGTGTTTTAATGTACGAGCTAATAAAAACCTGTGTCCTTATTCATATACTGATGCTGAATTATTGTAACTGCTAAAACTTTGTTAAAATATAGTATATATTTAAAACTAAAGTATTTGCTTAATAATATGATATATGAAACTATTACGGCAAAACCTTTGTCTGTTTATAAGTAAATTATTACCCTACTTATAGTTTTTCGACAAAATAAAAATGTATGCTATTTGCTAATTTCCAGATTAGTATTTTTTTCGTTCTTTCTAGCCTGTTGTTAAACTTACAATGAACCGGTATAATAACGTATTTTCATACACAAGGTAAGTCCTAATACAAAGGTTTTGCGTGGTGATTTCGTTAGTACTTGTTATTAGTAACCTTACACTTGTCTACTGACAGTTTTCGTTATATCCAGCACCAGTTACCTGTAAAAATTAAATAAACTGCTGTTTTATATTAACGAATATCATTTTTATGATTGTTATCTTAATGTCCACTATAATGTATTTTTATATGATTAGTGTAGTAATAGAAAAACGTAGTAATTTCATGTAAGTCTGTTTTCAGCTTAGGAACCGGTTAGATGATAATTTTTATCTTTACAGAGAATAACAAAGTATGCCCCAACCCGACAAAGTGAGTGCGGACACTGGTATACAAGCAAAGGACTATCATATTTAAATTAGTCTGATTTTTCTGGAGCAACAAATTTAGTGCGTAATTCATAAGGTAGCCAATAAAATCTTCAAGTTGGCTATCAAACAACTGGGGCTTGTTCCAAATCTGTTTAGATAGTTCACTTAGTTATTACGAATTCAACTTAAGATGTTTCTATCCTCACAATGGATTATTTTGAATGTAATGATTTATTACTCTTCCTAACGCACTTCTTGCTAACCATGCTCTACAATTTTAATTGTACACCATATATTTCAGGCTTCATAAAGAAGCGTATTTGGTTACACATTTCCTTTGCCAATGGATGTTAATATCTACTTTAATGATTTTAAATTTATTTCTCTCACTACCATATACAGTAATTCACACGACAATCTCTTGCGCAATATTGAATGTCTGGAGAAATATGCTCTTATGTTTCCTGCTACTGTGTTATTCGTGAAGGATGTTCGTGATAAAAGTGAGCAGAATGAAATTTGTGAATGGAGCTATTACTGTCGGGGTCATCGTTTGAAAAGTATAGACTGTATAGCTATTCATTACTCATCAGAAAAGCGTCTTATAAAGGTAAATCTTACTACTTATTTGTGAAATTTTGGCACTAATAGTGTGTATGGGACCCTATGCATCTTGAGTTATCAGTAGATTATGATTCAGGCAACTGACCTGCAAATTTTCTGTCATGAGTTTAAATCATTCTTGATATACAATACTTTGGATGGTCTAGGAATATCGTCAAAACTTACAGAGACAACTGTTGGATGAACTTAAAGTTATTTGTTAATGTAGTGCCTTATATGCATTCCTTAAGTTCGAATAAAATATGTATATTATTTACCGACAGGGTTAAACTTTCCTTTTACGTATAGTGGTTCGAACTAAAAACCATGGTTTTCATATTTGAAAGTATTTTACATTGCTTTATTCTCTCCATAAATGAACAAACTTAACAAATGATTTTGGGTTGATCCTTTCCATCTCCTCGTATTTACTGACTCTTTATTTTTGTTACGTTTGTGTTTTGTGTATCTACACTCTTCGTCTTTCAGCGTTCCCCAACTTTTAATGATATATTCATTTTAAATGTTGAAATATTAGTTTGTTGTAGTGCATTCTCACTGCTGCTAAGCACACACATTGTGCTTAACAGATTTGCAATTTTGCGTGAAACTCCAACTAGCGCTCACGCTCTTTGGTTTCTACATTGCAACTCCCCTTCTTAGTCTCTCACTTATGTACATATTTCAGTTAGTTTTCAAATGCACTTCAGTTTCTGTTTTACCTGGGGCCATGATTCATTATCTTAATAGTGTGGGTACAGACCACCTACTTTAGTTTGGCCAACCGTTAACCTTTACCTCCAGGCAACTGGTCACAATCACTTATCGTCCCAATATGCAAGAGAGGGTCAAAATCATCCTGTGACAACCATAGAGGGATTAATTTGACTAACATAGCACCTAAAACACTAGCCTCAATGATTATCGGCCGCCTGACTAAGACTCGTGAACTGCAAATACAAGAGAATCAAGCTGGCTTCAGATCTGGTCGTGGCTGCATAGACTACATATTCATCATTCGTCAGGTTCTAGAACACAGGCATGCTTATCGGCGTCCGACAATGGTGGTCTTTCTTGACTTAAAAGCAGCATTTGACTCGGTTGATCGCGAAATTCTGTGGCAGTATCTGTCATTGAAAGGCGTACCTCGGAAGTACATAAACCTTGTGAAGGCTTTTAACTCGAACACTACCAGTCGAGTCATAGCTTATGGAGAACTGTCATCTGCTTTTGCAACCCCAAGTGGTGTCCGGTAAGACTGTCCATTATTTCCATTTTTGTTCAACATCATCATAGACCTACTGATGAAAACAACGTTCTTGTCGACTGAATTTTCGGGTATTAATCTCCTACCAGGAGGTCCACTTATCGACTTAGAATATGCAGATGATATAGTCCTATTTGGTAAAGATCCTATTAAAGTGCAGAGTCTTTTGGTAACACTGATCAACAATGCCAGAATGTTTGGGATGCGTTTTTCCCCTTCTAAATGCAAACTGTTGCTTCAACACTGGCCTGCGTCAACACCTGAACTATGGATAGGGAGTGAAGTAGTCGGACGCGTTGATAACTCCACTTATCTTGGAAGTCTGATCAGCCCAAATGGGTTGGTGTCTGCGAAATTTCAGCACGAACTCAGGAATCTCGTTTGGCTTCTGCCACCTTACGTCACTTATGGTGAGAGCGAGATATCCGTCTATCAATTAAGAGACGAGTATACTGAGTGGCAGTTCGTTCTGTCTTACTTTACGGCTGCGAAACGTGGCCAATAAGAGTAGGAGATACTCGTAAGCTACTAGTATTTGACCACAGATGTCTTAGAAATATTGCTGGCGTCTGCTGGGATCGCCGGGTAAGTAATAGTGAGGTTAGACGCAGGGTATTAGGGAACGATCGTTGATGAGGTTGTAAATCTTCATCGACTGAGATGGTTGGGCCACGTGTTACATATGCCTGGACACCAATTACCACGACGTGCAATGCCAACCGGTGTAGGGGATGGTTGGAAGAAAGTTATGGGAGGCCAAACCAAAACGTGGCATCAGTGCTTGAAGACACTAACTTCCGGTCTGAGCCATGTTGGTAGATGCAGGCTACTTGGGTTGGCTCCGAATGACTATTGTAACCATTGTTTGGAGACTGCGTGACATGGCTCAGAATCTATCACAATGGCATCGGTCTATACACTCTCTATCTTCCCTTAAACTAAGAGATTAAAATCGCTTCATATCTTTCTTTGTACGAACTAATTCTTTCCTCTGTACATTATATCCTTATATGCAATCTTTCTTTTATATATTACCACCATGAGGTATGGCAACTTGGACCGATGCATATATGTGCCTGGTTGTACGTTGTAGCTGACTGACTTCCAGGCAGTTGGTATTTTATATGGTGTTTTATTAAGTATTGCTGGTAAAATACAAACTTGGCGGTAATAAATCGTTTCTGTGCATCCATAATGAAAATTCTTAAATACCGAGCAGTCCTTTACTTACAAAATTATTTCAGTAAATACGATGGAAAGGTCAATCGATCTAGTTCATTATATATATCAGATTATTAGTACAGAAAGTTCCGTAATCTGCGCTTCACAAGCGCTAGTGATTTTGGCACGAATTTTAACATAAAAATGTAGCGTCTTTAAAGGGTGTGAAAGGAACTAGTTGTTGAAATTGGCATATGTAATTTATACTTGGCGAGACTTCTCTAATCAGTCAGAAATGCCAAATCCCACAGACTTTAACACCTGTTTATTAAATAACCATCTCTTACTGCATATTTATTAACTTTTCGTAATAAGTAGTGTATCTTAATTATATTTATGTATAGTTTGCTTTTATTTACACAGATGCTTTCGTTTTTACACATTTATCCAGGTAGAATTCCCAGAATCACGTATTCATGAGGAAATGCTCTCACTACTTTCAGTCGCAAGCCGAAATTTAAGTGATGCAGAACTTCTGGAAATTGCCATGCGGAAAGCGAATTGTGTTTCAGGTTCAGCTAGTGGTGCGTTAGTCAGTTACTCTGTTCCCGGGACTACTAGCAACTCGCAGCAGGAAACAGAAGATCAAGATTTAGACCAATCCTCCACCAATACCACAACGACAGGAAGCCTTTTGAGCACTTCAATACCACCTGCACGACCAGCTACCGCAACTGGTCTTCTAGACAACCATGGGAATCCACTTAGTGCTGGGAGTTCTCGGAGTTCGTTCGGAGCATCAGTTCGCCTTGGGAGGCGCTAATATTTGCTCATTACCTACTCCTTTCGAATTGTAAAGCGCCAAAAATGACTGCAGATGACAATCAACAATATATATCATTTTTATTTTATCGCTGTGTGCGAGAAAACCATTGGCTTACCTACTTATTGCATTACAACTTTGCTGCGTTTATGTACACACACTTCTAGGTAATCGAATAAACCGGAATTCCCGGTAAAGTGCAATACATGAATGAGAAATATTCAGTAACCAGTGCATAATTTATGCGACAAAATACATCAGGAATCAAAATGTGATATTGTTTTTTCTTATTTATGATTTGTTCAAAAATGAAACCCAAAGCTGGAAAATTGTTTTTCTCATTAAAGATAAACACATCAAATCGGGACACCTTATGTTACCTTTTGTAGATGTTACGCCTTCTTTATTCTGTTAAAGTTATGCATCTATCCGATTTTCCTATAAATTACTCGAGTGAACTGTGCCAGCACGTTAAGGTACAGGCTATACTCCAATGAAATTACTATGTATTGAGCATCTTTACAGAAAAATGCTACTAATCATAACTATTGTAACTGTACAAGATCTCCTTTACCCAACAGACGATAAATTGTAATTACCAAAAATAAAAAATTTTCACAGAAAAACGCTTTTAAATGTAAAGAATTACTCAATACAATCAGGGACCAGTAAATGTGTATAGAAAACAAGATATTTTCATGAAAAATATAACACAGTTGTACGGCGAAAAGCCTTTAAAGGATATAGACAAGATGTAAAAACAGCCAACACTAACTCCACTAATATCATCAGCTATCAAGTCGTACAGCTTACGTAAAATACACAGAGCGACTGTGATAAGACCGCTGTTAACTCCGGCTTCGAACAATCTGGCATTTGGAGTCATTGAAACGTTTGATACCTACGGGTGAACTCAAGGGATCGACTGTGCCGGTATTGAGTACGGCGAGATTGTTATTCATAAACAACCTTCGAGCGATGCCCAAGTAACCTTTGCAAGATTACCAAGGTAAGAGAGGGTTGTAAGTGAGTGCAAAATCAGAATTGGGAGTAAGGTTCGGTAATAGGGTTACGGTTCACATAACGAACTGACACCAGCCATGGTGCCAAAATGCTATTCTGCCAAACAGATATGGATGGATTCCGCGCCAATGTCCACAACTCGCAATCTTAAATTCGATTGGTTTGTTAATTAGTTATAGTCTCACTCTGACTACCACCATTGTTCGGTATAGCAGCTGCTAAAAAGCCATACATAAGATGTATTTACTTAACCTTTCAGAGAAACTAACTTCGTATCGGTACTAAAGGTAACCGAAGGCGGTGTGTGTTGTTCTGTAGTTTGCTATCCCATAACTTCTTTTACCATATTCCCAATGGTTCACTGATGGTAAATGATAGCAGAGTTTTGTCTTTATGGTAGATGTACTTCACAATTTAGTTCGAAGCACATGCCACAATAATCCTGATCAGCGTCTGATTGTGTATGTGACAATCTTATACGTTGTATTATGGTATACACTAACACAGATTATGGCATTTCTAGGTTCTGTGGTGCCACAGTACTTCCACAAACTGCTTCTAGAGCGTCATCGAGTGTAATGCTAAGGGAAGGCTGGTGATGATGGACAAGAACACTCATTTGACTCCTGGTTGTCAGCAATGCGTTGGTGGTTTCATGCTTTTTATTGGATGTTTTGTATAATGCATTGAGAACGACAAAACCTTTTTCTAAGATATGTTCACGGAACACAGTTTTGTCCAACAAACGGAGAGCACTCTTGCTTTGAGTTCATACAAAATTTGGTTGCAATACTTCTTTGGGTTGTATCGTCTAGTGGTTAATGAGAACGTTATTGAAGTAAGGAACCCGACCTGCCATCTGAAAGTTAGCTTATACACATTCTCAACATCTTGTGGTGGCAGATTTAAACATAAAGCAATCGAGAACTTTTCAAATTAAATTTTGAAGGCAGATGGATATAAACAGTTAGTTAAAGCATTATTTAAACAGTGGAAACAATTATGCTTGAAACTTGGGAGTTATGCAAATTAAATAATGAGTTAAGGTAAAAACAATTACAGGAAGGAACGCCTTTATTAATTTACAAATTGGTGTACGTTTACATGGTTTATTCCATGTTAGATTCAGTCTTACTCTCAGGCTGTGTGTAATGTCTGTATTCAGGTTTCAGCTCCCACATATTTTTGTGTGGAATGTGAGTGTTGAAGATAGCAATTTCCTTTAGTATCTCTGTAAGATAGGCCTGAAAATAAAAAAAGGATATATCATACACATGTAAAACTGAAATTAAATATTTTAGTTTATAGAAAACTAACGAAACAAATTAATTGGTTACGTGAATATTTCCAGATTAATATTTGCTAATGTGAGGGTACATGAACGACAGGTCTAGATTTCAAAACAAATTAAATACCTTGCATCTACTTCAAAGGCGTTATGTTGTGGAGTTAGTCTTACTTTATATTTCAATTTTTCATTGCGTCAATCAGATGTGGATCTAACGTTAATCTTGCTTCTTCCCTTGTGTACGTTGAAATTTACTGATGCAGAGGTATATGCTACATTGGTTGCCTTGACCTGCATCTGTTGGAGTGTATGGAATAGAAGGGCTAGGTCATCTGAGAAGTCTGAATCGTCTAGTTTCATGCAAGCTGTTCATTATATTCCGTGCTTACCCTCAGATGTGATCTTTATAGTTCAGTCAACCACCAGAAGAGAATGAATTTCAGATGATCTTGACGATCTTCTCATTTACACCTGTGTCGAAGAAGGTTCCACAAGTTTCTCCTATCCATACTGTCGAACTCCTTCGCACAGTCAAGGAAGTCAGTCAGTCAGCTACAACGTAGGACCAGGCACACATATGCATCGGTCCAAGTTGCCATACCTCATTAACACAACAAGATGGACACCGACTGTTGGTGCTACCTTGGCGTGGTGGTCGGGCTTGCCTATCGTGATGAAGCAACCGAGCTATACTGACTGGAACAACCGTTACTCAAGGCCCTACCATGTCAGACAAGTCGGTTGAAGAGCGGTAAGACTAAAAGCAACAAACCTAAGGTCCGAAGGCGAAGTCGTACTGCTGACTGTACAGACGTGTGATAACAGTAAGGTATTTCCTTCAGACAATCAGCATGACAGCGATGCTGCCTTCCCACAAGGAGGGGTGGAGTTAGAAAAGGTCGACCCCAAAAATGCACACCTCGCCTTATCCCACGGATAACCATCCCCCGCGGTAAGGTCTCAACAAGTACGGAGCTAACACAAAAATTACCCATAAAAAGGTCGTGTGTGACCGACCTCAAGCAGTTGTCCCTTAGGCACTGCGGTCACGCTCTCAGGTCACTAAGACCACCTCTAATCCAATTTCCTTTTCAGGTACTTCCAGAAGAACCCTTCCACGGTGTAGGCAACCGGGAAGTGATAACCACCCTCGTACCTCTAACAGCACTCAAGTCAAGAAAGTTGATGCACAGTGACGAGTTCTATTTAACTGGTTGTTTAACGATGACCTCTGGTGTTGCGATTTGGTCTGTGCATAACCGACCCTTACGGAATCCGGCCTGTTGATCTCGAAGCTGTATGTCTATTGAATCCTTCAGTCGGTTTATCGATACATTGTTAGAAACGTTTATTCAATATTATATTTTTGGTACAGTATAGAATTCTCAGCACAGTATTTCAACAAGTCCCGATCGAAGCTGCTACCTTGACGCGGTGGTATAGGAGTAGGTTGGAAGAAAGCTAGGGGCGGCCAGACCAAAACATGGCACAAGTCCATGAAGTCACTGACAAGTGAACTGAGTCATGTTGGTAGGTGTAGACTACCTGGTTGGGGACCGCGAGATGACAGCAACCGATGGTTAGAGACCCTGAATGACATGGCTCAAAATCGTTCGCAATGGCGCAGGTGCATCCACTCTCTGTGTTCTCCCAAACTCTAATCTTCTGAATTCTTCATGTCCCTTTTTCCCTCTTCCCAAATTTCTTTCACCGGATTATACTCTTTAAATAACATCTCCAAACCCTAATCTTCCCGATTACTGCTTATACTCTTGCTACCTTTACCACTACGGGATTTGAATCGACCACTGCATCTCTGTGCTAATGTGGTGTGGCAACTCGAACTGATGTACGTACGTACGAAGTTCTACGTTGTTACTGACTGACTGACTGATTTCAACAAGTTTCCTTTTCTTATTTCTTGACCGATCCTTGCGATAAATATTGAGTGGTCGCCAGTTAGATGTTAGCAGGAATCGACATCTGAATCATGTATATTCTTTTCGAAGCATATTGCCAGCAACCACGGTGTCTCTGAATAGGCTCTTTCGTAAGTTGTACAGCGAAATGTAGTAAACTTTTCACAAACACACCTGAATAGGTTATGAGACTAACGGGCATAATGATGTGTTAAGAAAAACAAGAAAACAGATAACTTGTTGAAATATCTTGATGGCAGAGACAGGTAGGCCCAGATATTCAAACAGGCCGCCTGATATGACTCCACTGCTTCGGCTAGTATGTTGTCAGGTCCTGCTGCTTTTTCACTCCTAATTTCTTTGATCGTTGTTACTGACAGCTATAGGAAGGTTTGTGTGTAATGCTTCGATGTCCGGTGGGTTCAGTGGGGCTGGACTATTCAAGAGTTCTTCAAAGTGCTCTACCAACTTTTCTTCTGTTTTTGAACCTCAGTGATTGGTTTGCGTTCTTTGTCCTTGACCGGTTGCTCTGGTTAACTATATTTCCCTGCTCGTTTCTTCGTTTTGTCATATGGTTGTCTCATATTCTCTCCCTTAGCAACTTCTTCCGCTGTCGCTGCCAGGTCTTCTGCATATTTCTGTTTGTCAGCTCTAATTCTTCTTTTCACTTGCTTGTTTGCTTTGGTGTGTCCAGATTGCGCCTTGACATCCTCTATTGCTGTTCGGCTGCTGTTAATCGCTGTTTTCTTGTTCTTCCTTTCTTGAATCCCGCCATGGTTATCGACAGGAATTCATTTTTATGATGGTGCTTTTGCTTGTAAACGCAAGATAAACAAAAGAAGGTTAAGGGTGGAAAACATATCAGTGATTATATGTACGATAAATTGACAGAATTAATCTAACATCTAAAAATAATGGATTTAATAAACACAGTTTTAACCAATAATTACTGAGGATTTTGACTAGTTATAAGTAAACGACGATGAGACATATACGACCAATCATCGAACGTGATACGTGTTAGTAGATTCTACGGTATCAACGTATTTCGAATTTGATCAGAATTATGATTAAAACTAACTGAAACTAACAAAGATATAGAGAGTAAATTATGTAGATGCTTACCAATGGTTGCTTAGTAAGTACAACCAAATCTTTAATAGAGTAATATTGGTGTCTTTCGAAAGCTTTGAACAAATCCTGCAAAACGTCTTCTTTTTCACGTCTAAGATTTTTACCCTCAACCTTTTTCCGATTTTCATACTCGATCTAGAAAACAAATATTTAATGATTTTAATGCAAAGCAGTCATCGGAAACTTAGCAGTGATTAAAATACATTAATGTACAAACGCAAACAAATTTGTTGATATTATAGACGGTGGTTAATAATGTAAAGTTTCCAGTGAGATTTCAGATGGACAAAAGTATAGAGAGTATAAGGTCAGCAATCTATAACAGAGTAGACAAGTCTAAAAAGACTATTCCTTTGATTAATCAGGGTAAAAGTGGATTTGTCACATAAAACAAGCTGTTATCTATGGTTTATCAACTTGTTAGGTGAAATAGTGAGGTGACACTTATTAACCAGTCATACCAGCAGCAGCCATTAGCATTTAGGCCAAGTCACAACCCCCACGAATCAGTCTTGTTTCTAGTCGTCACATAAACTGAAGTGGATATATTTCACGAGCTATGCGTATCAGTCCTAAGTCTAAATTGGAAGCACCATAGTATAAACTAAGTAGCGGATGGAATTCAAACATGAAATCAACAAATTTGTAAGTTATTATGGATACCAGTGAGAAATTAAGTCAGCGGTTATGAATCTGAAAATTTTGCTAAGTGTCGGTTAAACTACACTACCTGTTTACGAGAATAATGGAAGGAAAACGTAACACTGACATCGCAAAACTACCGTTGTTATATCTATGTTAGGTTGAGATAATATTCGAGTTCAATATATATATATATAATCATTATACCATAATAGTACTTTGTTTCAACAATGAATAGTAGGTTGCAAAGAAAATGGACGGTAACATGAATGAAATAAAGAAAATATACTTACATTGTTGACATGATTGGAAACTGGTTTGTAATTTCTTACTGGTTCATAAAGGAGACAGACTGCATGTCGCGGTCGATTCTTTGCTTTGAGCTTGAGGAAATAAAAGAAATATAAAACTAGGACAAGAGTGAGGGTTGAGTATTTCTAGAACTAGAATGGGTACAAAATAGGACATTCAAGATTAGGAAATATTCTATGAACCTACATAAGCCTCTACATAAAATCAAAGATTTTTACCTGTTGAGCTTTGAGCATCATATATCTTGTGTTGGGTGGTGGTCTGCATTCAGCTCTACTATTAACACGACCAAACAAAGATAGTCGCCGAGAGTAACGAGCGCACGGTTTATTTGAGAATGGAGAATGTGGGGCTGTAGAGGAAATTGAAGTTGTGTTGGTCGTCGAAGATGGAAACGAGTTGGTTTGAGCACATCCGAGGTCGTCTTCACATAAAATTATGAGTTCTTGTCCAGATATAGTCCCAGGACGCCTTTGAACTGTCGAACTTGGAGTAGTTTGACCTGGGCGAGCAGTCACAGGTGTACTATTTGATGATGCAGAAGTTTGAATCAGAAACTGATGTTCCTGAAAGTATAAATAAGACTTCATTCACTAATCAAACATAGATTTACTTGGTTGGTGTAAGTAATAGTTACAATGTGATGGTATCAAGATCAAATAAAGTGAATACAAAAGTATGTAAGCGCATCACCCAGATAAAATGTAGAGACTTACACGTAAAAGGTCAGAAGTTTGGTTAGAGATACTTTCCTAAATATCACCAACCATAGAATTCTTATTCAGTACTTCTTATAGAGACAAAATATTATCGAACTTTACCAATTATGATAACAATATTCCCAGTAAGGTCAAACGTTTTTTTCTAGCAAGGAGATTTCTGTAATGATATAGATAACTAGAAACCCCTAAAATCGGGGAAATCTAAAATTGCTGAAACCGATTAACGTGTTGCTCCATCTGCAAATTAAGTGGCCTGTGGATTCAATGTTAATCACTTATTAAGAACCTGCGAGTGAAAATAGTCCGTCTACTTGATTTTAACAAATCAGTCTCGCACAAAACAATTCTGGTGTGAAACTGTTCTCCACTGTTGAGAACTATAGGTGAAGTTAGATATGGTCCCCTGTTAACTTTGGCATGAATTGGATTTTGAAAGTAGATTAGCTTTTTCTAGTGCTACGAAGCTGTTTCTAGAAGAAGCTTTCCGAACCTAGATGAGAGGTTATCATCCTCTTAATGTGTAATACCAGAAATTTACATACGATCAACATAAAACAAGACCCATAGAAATGGGAGTGATTTATACAAAAAAAAACAACTGATATAAGTGAGTTTTCTATTGAAAATTGGGAGACACAAAAATCTGCTGTATGTAGAGCACGTGGCACAGTTTTAGTCACAAGTGCTCCTGAATGAACCGAAGAAACAATCATTTGAGTGGAGAGAACTAGTTCAATTGCCTTAAGTAAAACAACATTGGTTTAGTATTTGAAAAAATTGGTCACTCAATCATCGAAACCGGACGGAATATTTATTCAGATAAAGCCTGGGATTATTAAGAACATAAGTACATCTGTCAAAGAAACCCGTAAGACTGATCACTGTACAGAAAGGTTTTGTAGTAACTCAGATACTTTTCATTAAATTAAGATCATGGATTAATACACTGCAACGTTTTTTATGACAAGGGCTTGGAGTGACCTAAGCAACTGAAAAGAGAAACAAAGGGGATATTCAGCAAGAAAATAAGCGGTAAAAAGCGCTAGTCTTATTTTTCGACTCGTGTATGAAAATAGTACGACACCCCCCCTTTCATTGCTGTATATTTTTATTACCGCCAATTATCTACTTTTCATTGAAATGTGCGCCGAATTCTCTCCTTATCACATCCGTTCAGGTAGAGTTCACGCACAATTCTATGCTTGTAGCCCCAAATGTCTCATGTGGTCCCCTTAATTCCCATTGCGAAAAAACGTTTAGACATAGTCGACTGGATTAAAAAACGACACATAGTTGAGGATATTCATTGGCAGGAAATAACATCATCGTTTAAAAGGATTAATGACAGACAGATGTTCGTCACAGACTTTGATTGTAACTGCGAAGTTCCGCTGTCCTTTACGATGATCTGCCAAAGACAGTTACAGGTAATAGCTAATGAGTTGTTTGTTAAGAATGCGTCTTTACTGTTAAGTGTTTAATTGACATGTTTTTTAAACAACTGTCAAAAAGGTCGGATTTATGGTAATGTTCGTCAACACTGAACACTTTACCTGTAAAACAGCAATGAACCGTTATCATTCCAAACTAGTACTTACATCTTTTGTTTTCGTCCAACGACGCTTTTGTAGTTTATCTCATGTCGTGAAAGTCCCCTTGCGTCGCGATGTCAGTGCACCTAATGATTATGAAGGGGAAAGAACTTTTAATTCGTAAGCCTGCACTTCTTAAATGCCAAATAGTGTGAAGTAGCTGGAAACTTCAAGCTTTATGATGAAAGTTCGCTTATTTCTTTTATTTCAGAGATGGTGTCAACAGAAATTTTTTTAAGATTTGGCCGGCTTAATATTCCCTCCATAAGCATCTACCATGAACACATCACTAAACCTAAGGGCAACGACCGGTCTTAATATAGACCATATCTGCTGACAAAATTTTTGAAATAAAAGAAATGGGCGACCTGGGGGTATACAGTGTTAAGTTCAACAAATGTATAGCTATTAAACTAGTAATTGTTATGTGTGACGCACCTGTTTACTCAGATGTTAGATGCACAGTTAACCACAATAGAAAATCAGGCTGTGATATGTATGTTGTAGGTCGTCACCTCGAAAGATGGACGTTTTCAAGCGAAGTGATGACAATTCGCGTCAACGGATTCAACCAATTAACCATCAAGGACTTTCTGATTTTTAGACACTTCCAGCTAATATGAATTAAAAACATTCTTTCTAGACCTAATACACATAGTGTAGTTGGGAGTGATGAGAAAACTAATCAATCTATGGATAGGTTTATTTTACAACAGACTTAGAAACATGAACAAATCTATAATCACGGGTATAAATAAATTAACCTCGAGCTGTGTTGAAAGTGCTCCATTAAATTTGAAACGTAAATGTCGTACATTAGACTTCATTTCCGTATGGAAAACGATAGAATTTTCATTATTCCTTCTCTATTTTGGCTCCATAATTCTTAAAAATTTTCTACCACTACCATCTTCATTAAATTTTAAACGTTTACTATCAACGATATATGTTAGTGCATCATGGCAACGGATTCAGTTAGAAATGAGTTAATGAAGTTTCTCACATAATATGGTGTTGCGGACCGGAACCCTTAATTTATAATGCGCATTTGTTAAAGTACCTTCCTGATGACGTTCGTTAGCATGGGACTTGGGATTCATATATGAGGTAGATTAAGAAATCAGTGCATAGTGTTTACGCTATAACAAAGCAAGCAGCTCAGCGTTGTGAGGAAAATATATCTTTCTTCGGTAGACCTCGAGCTAGCATGTCGGGAACTAATATAGACACATCCGTCAAGTACGATCACAAGAAATGAATAGTTATGCCTAAGAACACTAAAATCACTTAAGTCGGATTACGTAATAACAACACACAATAAACCTGGGCTAATCATTGACACAGGGGAAAATAGACTAATTAAATTTAGAACTCACTGACTTACGAGATTATTTTACGGAAGCATTCTCTTCTAGTAGCATGGATATATTTATGTGCTCGGAAGTTAGTCATGAGCACATATGGGTTTTCACTAACGATGTATACTGTAAGTGTATTTCCGTAAACTGCTTTAATAATGTAGTAATCGTTCTGTCGCTATATACATTCATGTGAATATGTTTTTGTATTTCTTGTTAATACTATCATTTTGAATAAATTCCTAACTATTATATACTGTCAAGCGTACTACTAGTCAGTTTGTACTCATCAGTGCGTCAAGCACGAAGGTTTCAATCGCAGCAAGTAAAAAAGAACTTCGCTTGTATCTTAACAAATTTATGGATATTCACCTGGATAAGTGCTCAACCAAATGACAACTGGCCAATCATCAAGTGCAAGTTTATCAACTGCTATAGTGAGTTACATATACAGATGCATTCGTTTCCTCCAAAAAAAGCAAACTGAGAAGGACTCGTTTTATTCCGTAAACACCTAGGCACTAAACATAGAGAAGCCTAAGAGGTTATTAGTTATCGCACTAATTTTTCGTGGAGGCATTGAAACGGAAACAAGGGTTTTTGTATAATTCCGTTGATATGGACGTGTCTGGAATGCAGGCTGGAAACAGCCACGTTCGAAATATAGTTTAGGTTACTAAACACTACAGTGCTACTAATTGAAAAGTAAGGGTGTCTTGTTTATAATGTTAATAAACAAGTTTTTAACAATTAGAAACGTCGTCCTCAACGTCCATTTCAAAGCGTGTTGGCAGTGGGTTGACGGCTGAGTATGTCACATTTGGGATTTAAGTTAATGTTGAACATTCAGAAGACTACATGCTGTTCTGCAGGACATATTGTCAGCAATATCAGACTAGTGTGAAAACATTATGCACCTAGTGTCTAAGCTGATGGATGTGATTATCCATGAAACTTATCATTGGACTTTCAAGTGTACAGTTCCGTTTGTCATCTGAAGAGGAACTGTGGACGTTAGATGCATCTCTTCAACAAGGAGATGTGAGAAACAAATTTGAAGGGCTATCATGTTTATCGGATTATCAAATTACATTCCAGATGTGCATGGTAACGTAACTGGTGGATGATACTAATAAAGCTCGCATACGCTGTTGGACTCATGAAACCTGACGTTGCCAACCACTTAACACTAGTTGGCATTTAAGGAGTGCAGGCTTACGAATTAAAAGTTCTTTCCCCTTCATATTCATTAGGCGCACTGATATCGCGACGCAAGGTGACTTTCACGACATGAGATAAACTACAAAAGCGTCGTTGGACGAAAACAAAAGATGTACGTACTAATTTGAAAATGACAACCTTTTACTACTGTTCTGAACGTGTTTTGCAATAGAAATAAAGGCTACCACAGAAGAAATTTAGAGCTACAAGCATAGGAATGTGCGTGAACGATTTCTGTTTAGACTAAAATGAGATGATTCGGCGTAAATTTAGACGTAAATACGATATTCGAAGTTCATTGTATGATGTGGAAGAACAAAGGAATCAAGACTGATGCTTCAGGGACTGTTTTGAACGGATTTTTAGTGGTACAATGAAGAAACAGTAAATTACACACAACCTTTCAATTTTAACGTGTGGTTTTGTATAAAACGTACTACCTACCTTTGGTATCAGATTTCCGGACTCTCCGACTTGATTTAATAGTTCTGAATCAGTAACAAGAGTGACTTGTGACCCTGGGCCTTTGTTGCCATTCTGAGATGCACTAGTTGAGCTTGCGATCACAACTTTGCCAACTACACCATCAGGGCCAGCATTATGCCAAAGTTCAGCTAAATATTTTGGAACTTTCACTAACCACACTCCGTCTTTGGCTCTGCTTGTGTCAACTACATGCAAAGCATGTGCATCACAAAATATATCTGACGCACTCTTCGGTTTTACATTGGACATAATGACCTCGAATGACGTTTTACCCGCCACAAAATTTAGTAGTCAGTCTATGGGGATAGTGGAATTCATAGTTTACATCACGAACTGATCGTTCTCAGAATACCGCTGAAACCCAGAAAGCCTTGGACAGTTGTCTTATTCCATAATGGAACTATTCTGTTGTGTGCAACCACAACCATCGAGGTTGGACATACGACTAAGACTTCCAAATACCAACATTGTTTGGAAGAATGAGCGTGCTATTTGTTCCTTGACATGTATATCTAGGAAGCGGGAGAGTTTTAATTAATCTAAAGTTATGATTCTTCCTGTGTTTCTTTTCAGCCTGTAGGATAAAACTGGTTAGTTACGAATGGTGGAAGTGATAGTAGAGCATCACATACTGCTATCACCCTGATGCCTACAAAATTTTAGTAGGAGCAGGGTATTCTTTCAGGAGAGTCTATAAAAGGTTTTGTTACTGTCACATCTGATGACGAGTTCGACAGTTTGGCGGTTTTGCTCACGAGAGATTTGCACCGATTTTCTTAGAACTTATACATTTTTTATCTTAAACGGATATCTACTTCAGTGCAATTTGGTACATAAACTAACACTTTAAAAGGACGGGAATATACCTCTTAATGTGAGAGCACACAATGAGAGATTTTTTCGAAATGACGTCTTAGGTAAATTTCAAAGCAGTATTATATATTTCACAAGTTGAAATCATGAGTCAGTTGAAGCTAGACCACCATTGAAAACCTGGAAGCACTGGACGGCCGTTTCGTCCTGGTATGGGACTCCTCAGCAGTGCGCATCCACGATCCCGCACCACACGGGGCTCGAACCCAGGACCTACTGGCTTCGCGCGCGAGCACTTAACCACTAGACCACTGAGTATTATATAGTTCTGCAGTCAGGTTATTACATTTTAGGAGGATATATATGAGCCGTAACCCACTGGTGATGGCGAAAAGTATCCATGGGCCATGAGAAGGTATAAAAGTTAAACTTGTGAACTAATGGATACCGGCTTGATAGTCCAAAAGTTAAACGCTCTCATCTAAAAATGAAGGTCTTGCATTTAGTCACGACTGGGTAATAGGTGCCCAACAATATGGAGTCCCATGCTGCAGGGAAGCAGTTATTCAATGCTTTCCGATGGTGAACAATTGTTTAACTAAGATCAGTCAGTGGTAGTAACTGCAGATCATTCAATATATTACAGGCACCAATGAAGTTGGTCCATTGATGTAGTCGAACTTTGTATGACCTCATTAAATCCATTAAGTCCAACCTCCACAACATCAATATAGCTGAACAATATTGAAATGTTGGCAGAGTCAGATTAAATATATAACGGAAGTAAAGTGAAGTTAATACCGGTCTAATTTCATAGACTTCCATTTAGCTCACCTATTTCTGATCTCACTTTTCTATCTGGTCATGAACTATTTATTTTGGGTTTGCAGTTAATCATTGTTTCTTAATAAATAGGTATACATTGTCCTGCTGTGTTCTTTGTCCTACCTCAACAACCGTTTTGACCATTCACTGGTGTGCTGAATCTCAGCTAATTCTTCAATCAACTTAATCGTCAGATTGAAGCAAACAATAGGTGAGTGGTACTGACCAACTAGTTCATTCAGAAGAACATAACTCACGGGTTTCTCCATTCCCCTAAAAATAGTCCCAACACAGTTAGTTCATAGTCAGTCTTATTGTGACTTTTGGCTTTGAACTACACTTTGCTTTTCAGTTTATACGAAAAAACTTGAATATGGTTGTATGCGGCTGATATCAAGATCGCGAGTACTTTGTGACGTTGTCATGCATAATTTTTTATATTGCCTATCTCGTTTACTCATGTACACTCTTACTAGGAGTCGATCAACATCAGGTTACTGCATCAAGTGGTTTGTGTTGATAAGCATTAGTAGGAAAATGACATTTGATCAAGTACACGTTATATGGCTAAGGGGACATGTAAGATGCTTAAAAACGTAAATATACGAGTGATTAGTTATGGATAATATATGAACTTCCGGAGTTAAATGTCAAGGTAATCTGGTTACCATAATAATTTCCGTACAATATGTCCTAAAAGTAAGCTAACTCAAAAACCTAAATAAAATGAAGATTTTTCACAATATAAAGAGCTCACGGGTTCGTAATGTTTGCTTAGTGAATCAAGAGGTTTCTCTGACTAATTCAGGCCGTTGGAAACGTCGGGTAAGTAATAAAACAATAGAACCTAGGATGGTTCTTTCAATTACCTAGCCAGAAATTGTCCTGATAACGAAAACGTGGTGTCCGTCTACAATACAAGATGAAGAACTAAATACAGATGAATACACACCTCATCTTTTAACCGACACCATAAGGAAGGTGGATGATGTGTGATCTACTCACGTAACCCTATTAGTGCGATAATATTGGAAGACAGTGTATTTAGTTGTAGTAATCAGGAGTATTTGAATTATAGTACGAACTAAGAATCCCAGAAATAACTCAAGTGAATCAAGAAGTACTAGACAAGCACATAAGTATAATACCAGGCTCGTCATGGCTCACTATACTCAGCACTAGTTGTAAGTTGCATGTGGGATGTGTGCCTCTTCTTAGGAGAACAATCAATATTGCAAAGAGATGCTGATAACAGTGTTTTATTTGGTCGTAATTAGAAAGCCAATTTTAATATTCGTATTGGCATGCTGATTTTCCACTACATTTGTATTGATAGGCTAACTGAAGGAACAGAAGTATAGTCTTGTAGAGCATGAATTCTAACTAGCGTTTCAGTTCGTTTATTAAGTTTACTTCGGTTTATTTAGTTAAAGGGAGCTTTTATCAACCTTGTTATTGCTTAACCATGATAAGATTTAGTAGTACTAATAATACATACGAAGTGTCATCAAAACTACATTTAATACATAGAAATACAGATAATTATGTGGATTTTGAACAGATAGCTGACGGTAGTTCGTTGAACGTGATCGCATCCATGAGAGACATGTTCTAGAATCAATGTTCTGATGTACGACGAACCAGGTTTTTGTATTCATACACACTGGTTGGTGGTGTATCAAGTTTGTGGTAATATAGAAGATGATTCGCATGAACGCGAGTGACTATAAGGTGTTGAAATCAGCTATATTTATAGGCAACAAATATATGCGACATGGTGTTATGCAACGCTTTCAACTATATCAATCCCTACAAGATGATAAACAGTGGGTGCTGGTCATGTGATTATCAGAGAGCGCGTAAGTTGTAACTAAGAGAAGTAAAACTCGACTCAGGTCTGAGATAATGGCATGTACCTTTGTTAGTATTGAGGCAAATTTGAAAATGTTGTTCTCAGTTTGCAGGAGATTTGATCAACTGCTTATACTGATAGTTCGCATGGATGTTTGTGTCACTAAACTTCCAATTAGACTGACAAGGTTCCAAGATGTCTACTATATGAGCAACTGATAGAGAAACTTACTGAAATAATCTACAACAGATTAAAGATGCTACACGTTTTCAGAGTTTGACAAAGCCTTTACACGTAACACTTTTATAATCAAAGTATGTCAACCCAGTCAAATCAGAAGTCAGAAATGAAGTGGTTGGAAGATATATTTGGAAGGCTACCAATTTATCGTGAAGCGTTTATCCCAAACTGGTTAACAGTTGGAAGGGATGGGCAATATGGTGTGCGTACTCTTGGTCTGGTGAGGATGCGTGACCGTGCACCTTTAGTTACGTGTACCCAGTTAATTGATTAGGTCAGTATTAAAAGTTGAAAACTTATGGAGCTATTTATTTTGGGGATTTCTTTACCGCCACAAGATTAAGATAAATACGAAAAAACAATACCTTATGATAATCGTAAGTCGGTTTATCGGCCGAGCTTGGTTATAGTTTCATCAGTTTTATCAATCATATCACGTGATTGCGAAGTCATAATAATGCTTTATGACGATATCCAGAAACCATTATGAATAAATAGTTGTAGTGTTGATTGGGGATTAGGTAGTGGGAAATATTATTGCTTAAAGTGATCTGGAAATATCAGGAGTTGGTAGCATTAACGAACCAGACCCTCCTGATTATAAAAATTTGCGAACTAGAAACACTTGTTCACTTAGTTTTCATTTTAGTGATAGGTTGCTACAATAAAATTACTTTGGTCCTGGATCCCCGGTCATGTTTACCAAGACGAATAGATTGAGAAGAAGTGTTTCTAAAGTTTAAACTAGTCTCCGTAATATTCATCCATTCAGACAACTGACCTACAAAATCATAAAAGTGTTATGTATATGAAGGATCTCATTTTTTGAGTTAAGTTGCAAATTTTGATGGGCTGATCTGACTTATTTATTGTCCATTGACGTAAGCGTGTAGGTATCAAGGGCCAGTTCTTAGTGACGAAATGGTATAGTGTGATAGTTAGGAGTACTTAAAGTATAATATGAACTAAGAATCCCAGAAATAACTCAATTGGATCAAGAAGTACTCGATAAACACAGATGAATGTACTGTATTTGGAATTCGAAATCAAGCATCCAACAAGTGCCAAGGAATCATTATTTTATTCAAACATCACATCCGCCACAGCTTAAATTGAAGTATAGGTGTCTATAATCAATTGTACGTCTTCTTCTCAAGTTCATCCTGTGTCTGTCGGACAGTGTATTGGATGAGGACTTTGTATTATCAAGAATGTACTCATTAGTATTAGAATTAACTACCGAAATTGGAACAGACTCACCTGGTTCCAGGAATTGTGTTTGATCAACATGTCGATTGTGTGTACTTAAGTCATTGATATCTAGAATTCGCACCATATGTTTTCCGACATTCTTCACCACAATCCCTGTGGATGGTAGAAGATCATTTCCACGATAATATGTAACTTATGCAGACTCCAAACATCTCATATTCGACCGAAGAATTCTTCCTTTTAATAGCTTCGATGGAGTCTCCATCGTCACCAAATATCTGGCGTTTCTATATTGCAATAGAAAGGT